GGATTAGAACCGGCCCTTATTAGCTACTGTAACTATATAACGTAATGTCTATCGTCTAGACTAACGCTTCCATATATGGCGGTGTCCTACTTTCAGACTAGATTCACTCTGACGCGCCATTTTGGTCAAGGTTTCTAATCCTATTTTAGAACACATGCGGTGACTAAGACTTTCTCCTCTTTTTCTTATGAATCAAAAGCAACTGCTTGCGAGAGTAATACCTTCTTGAATTCTGTAAAACAATTTGGAAGACAATCTCAACTTATTTGGAAATATTAGTTATTGTTCATGTTATTACTATTGTTAAAATCTGATTTCTGAGCTTTAGACATGAAATATCACAGGCTAAAGTTGGAGTTTCTTACAATAGAAATCCTAGATAGCATGTCTAAAGATTCGGAAGTATTGCTCTCTTTGTCTTACTAATGCTACAAGTGTAGTCTTTCTTTCTTTCGTCATGTCAATTACAATATAATAATAATACAATATAATTTATTTCTCGTAAAGTCTAATATTTCGGTTAGGCTTAAAGGTTTCGCTGTGGCTTAGATTAAAATTGAAGTTATCGCAGATAATAATTATAACAGTCAAATAATAGTGATTATGTTATAACGCCGATAATGTATTTTCACTATTTAGAATGAGTTTCTATGAGCAATAGTTTGTTAATTGCAAGGATTTTGTGTAATTATTTTGAAGTAGAAGTGAATATACTTATAGAGAAATTATTATTATTTTTATATTTTGCAAACTGTTGAAAATTCGATAATAGTTTATATGACAAAAGTTACTATACTTTTGTTGGACTATGATATTCCGTTGTAAAAATATATTGTTAATGGATGTTTTTATTTACTTGTATATATATTTTGTAAACAAATTGAAATTTGGGAAAAGTGTTATAGATGTTTTTGATAGATATTTCGGCAAGGAATTCATGTATACAAAGTAACTCATATGTATACGTGTTTTAATTTATTTGTTATAAATAATTTGTAAACAAGTAAGAATTTTTAAAGATTCTATATATATTTTTAATAGATGTTTTAGTGATGAATTAATGTATACAGAGTAATTTCATATGTATACGCATTTTTGTTATATACATTTTCCGGTCCTCAGTTATTCATGTAGAGAGGCAGATATTTTGTTGATTAATTAGGTGTAGCGGTTAAATGAAAATTATTTCTTTCGTATGGTAATGAAGAGAAAGATTCAAGCTTGCTATTGGTATAACTGGCATAATTTTAGCTTGATTGCTTTAGGAAATGTAAGCGATTGAATGTGGTAGTAGTGGAATATCTCTAACGACAAATATATATACCTATATATTTGTCTAAGGGCAGATTTTACTACTTTCGGCTTATACCGGGTGTCTTTCCCTTTGGAATTTTCTAGGGCTTTTATTAAAAGAGTAACAAGTTTTTAAGTTAAATAAAAGTGCTTTTGAATGGCTCAGGCTACTGTATGAGCTATTAATAAAATGTTAATTATTTATTTAAGAATTCTTATGAAGGCGACTTTTAAAAATGTATAATTCTTTAATAAGTATTTTTTAATTAGAAGGTCCCGTTTTCTAATGTTTATGTATAAAACGAGTTATACTAAGGCACTATAAGATGTAGATATTCCTATCCGCCGTCTATTGGTTCCAATCGGTTAAATAGTTACTTTCCATTTTCACATAAATGATACTAAATCTAAAGTTATGTGAGTATTTTTATACTCAAATAATGATATCATTACTTGTTTACTTTGATAGAAAGTTATTGAGCGTAAAAGTATAGGTTTATACCTTACTTTTAATGTGAATTAATAGACTCGGTAAAGCTACGATTTCGAGCTTTATGCAGATTATAAGTAAAAATTCAGTTGAATCTTACTTATTAGAATAAAAAGGAACGTATATTCAACTGAGTTATAACGTTACAAATGAGAATTATTTGAGTTTTGGTATAAATGGAAAGCAACTAATAAGTGATGATTTTATAGTACGTCTGACGAAGTAAATATTGTTACGCCCGGGGCGGTGTATCTCGCGATCACGCACTCGCCCGCGTAACGTTCGCACTTCCGCACCCGCGTTCGCGCACGCGCACCGGAAGGTCGCGGAGAAATAAGAAGGAACACCAATTAGAAACACAAGGAACACGCTTTATTATAATGACTGTGAACAAACAACGCAGCGAATAGACAGAACAGAGCTCAGCACGTCCGAACGAATCGACGGCTCGTCTCCAAGTCTGATATGTCATCCGTTTGACAGATGACAACGCGTCGTCAGGGAAACATCTGACAGCTGGACCGGCTCGCTGGTACATCGAACGACGCGGGCAAAGACACGGGCGTAACACTGCCCTCCCTCTT